ACACACGCAGATACAATGCCAACCAAATACATTTAAGATAAAACCGAATATATAAATAAATATATAAACGAAAAAGAAAAGAGCATTAAATAAATAAAGAGGCGTTACGTAAATGGTGCCCAGAGAAAACTGGTGACATTTCAGAGGCAGCGCTAGGCTAACTATGTGCACGGCAGGGGGGGCACAGAGTGTCGGTGAGAAATGAGGACATTTTAAATATCAAAATTGGTTCAGAGTTTACAGACAAACTAAACCATTTCAGCAGAGGAGCTACGACTCAAAAACCACTATAGTCAGTTCAGTGAGTTTATAAAATACGTATAATTTCAACTTTTACCTTTAAACATTTAACATCTGGCTGTGTACGTCCGAGCAAAAGTCATTCAGAGTGGTTTGGTGTGAAATGCTCTGTTCTAGAGAACCTCACCAACTCAGTGGTGGTGATAGGAACCAGATGTCTGAACAGTTCATAGCTCCTTTACAGAAAGTTATTACATGAAATGGTTATGAATTCACTGACTGATGTCTGAGACACTGTTTTACGATAGTTCTCAGAAGGTTTTGGCCTTAAATATATTTTAAACATGCAGTCCCCAAAGAAAACTTCTTTCAGGTTTCTGACTATTTCACCATCATCGACACTACACACACACACACACATATATATATATACACACACACACACACATCATCTAAACCGCTCATCCTTCTGGGTCGCGGTGGGGTGCTGGAGCCTATCCCAGCTGTCATCGGGCGGAAGGCAGGATACACCCTGGACAGGTCGCCAGTCCATCGCAGGGCAGACAGACAGACATACACATTCACACACTCACACCTAGGGGCAATTTAGCATGTCCAATCAGCCTGACTGCATGTCTTTGGACTGTGGGAGGAAACCCACGCAGACACGGGGAGAACATGCAAACTCCACACAGAAATGACCCTGGTCACCCAGCTGGGAATCGAACCCAGGCCATTCTTGCTGTGAGGTGACAGTGCTACCCACTGCACCACTGTGCCGCCTTTTATATATATATATAGTTATGTACCTAATAGCATGTAATACCTCCACGGGTATGAATATGCAATTCGATTGGACATGGATTGGACAAGTTTCTGGATGTAGGCGACATCAATGTTCAGCCACTCTTGCTCAAAGAATTGCGCAGTTCGGGCAGATTTCATGGAGCCTTCCCTGCCGTCTTACTCATTGCTCCAGGTCGTCCCACAGATTTTCAAGAGGATTCAAATCTGGGGATTTTGCGGGCTGGTCCAGATGTGTGAATGCTCTTGCATTCCACTCTGCTCCATATGTTCATGGTATGCAGTTCCCTGCTGAGTGTTCTTTTAGAAATTGGTTGTGAGGACCTGTATGACTGTACGCTTCAACACACCTGCAAATTCAGCTACTTCCTTCCCACTGTGGTCTTTGGCTGCCCAAATACAATCACTCTTTGCTTTGCGACCCGTTTTCCACACGTCGAATGACACACTCACTGCATTGTACCACCTCTTCTCAATCTATGAATCTCATCGTACAAGTCCATAGGTACTTATAGCAATATATGTGTATATTCATGCAACACCATCTGCAGGAGCCTGAAGTTATTACCACCTATATATATATAAATATATATATATATATATATATATATATATATATATATATATATATATACACACACATGTGTGTGTGTGTATCGCTGCTGTGAGAACAAAATCTTGTATCTCCAACATGATAACTTTACAGGAAAGGAAAAAATATACTTTACTTTTAATGTAACTCAATGGAACCAGACATTTTTCTGAGTAATTCTGGGCCGTTTCTTTTGGTCCCTTCATTATGAACTGCACCCATAATGTAAAAGACAACAGGCATTTTCAGATTATGTCAATAACTGAAAAATCACAAAAATGAAGATATGAGTTTTTTTTCAGACAGCAGTGATATATACAGATGTATAGATATATAGTGACCCCTGGTTCCTATCACCACCACTTATAAAAATGAAACCATTCTGAATGACTTTACATCCCAACTACTGAATTATACAGACATTTTTAAAAGCAGTCCATTTTTATTCATAACATTACAAATTAACTGTACCGTTCATTTAAAATGTGGGAACATCATTAAAAACCTACTGTAAAAAAGTAATTAATAGTTAGGATTAGTGCTTGTTGTCAGATCTGAAGCCTCTGCTCTCCAGTCTGACTGTGTTTTATCAGAGCTCCAAACTGTTTGCAGTTGATTATTCCAATTGAGACGGGTCTGCAGACCTGACATTTTGGCTGCAGCAGCAAAATCAGGGCCAAGCACGACTAAAATCAGCCAGATTCAGTCTAATGTGTTGTTGAATGTGTGAGACGGGTGTGAGATGGGTGTAATGTGTGTGTGTGTGTGTGTCTGAGCCTGATTACAGTATGAGTCTCAGTGCTTTTTCAAGGCCTGATGATCAATAGATTGATACTGATAACGGCAGAAAACTATAATGAGTTACACACAGAACCCCAGAGACAGATACAGACTCTCTCTCTCTCTCTCTCTTTCTCTCTCTCTCTAGGACACACATTCTATACCATGTCACGACCCAGGGTCATACACATATCCTATATGTATTATATATGTAAGTATCTATATGTAGGAATATGTCCCATATGTATTATATGTATGTAAGTGCTGATATGTAATAGTAATGTGTCCTTTAAGTATTATTTATATGCGAGTGTCTATATATAATAATAATTATATGTCACATGTGTATTATACATGTGTAAATATCTATATGTAACAATATTTTCTGTATGTATTATATATATACAGTACTGTGCAAAAGTCAGAGACCACCGTTCATGTATTTCATTTCCAGTCAAAACAGCCATTAAGCAAAAGTTATTCATTTTCAGCAGCTATTTGTGAGAAGATTAGATATTAAGACAATACACTTGTATAATAAAGGAGAGAGTCAAAAGGAAAAAAAACAGGAATTTCTAAAACTGGAATTCAAAAAATGATTAAAAGCTACAGAGAAAATGGGACTCCTAATAACCACCTGGAAGACCTGGTAGACACCAAAACTGCCCCCATCAGATAAACAGCACTTAAAGCTTTCATCTCTGAGAGAGAGGAGAAAATCAAGCTGCTCCAGATCTGAAAACATCCACAGGTGTTTCTGTCCATCCTTCCACTGTGAGAAGACGACTCAGCGCTGTGGGTCTGAAAGGATGTGTAGCTGATCAAGAAGAACCTCACTGAGAAAAGGAGACACATCAAACAAAGAAGCTGAACGATGGACTGACCACCCCAGAGTCCAGACCTCAACACCACTGAATGTGTTTGATTACTTCAGAAAATGATCAACCAGCTTCTAAGACTGAACTTTGGAGGCGTGTCTGCAGATTCTTTGAGGAACTGAAAGTGAGTCTCCTGAAAAGAATGGAAGCTGGAAGGTAAAGAGTGACATGATATGTGGTTGTTGAGGCTTCTATGTAATATTGTATCTCCATTTTTATCATTTTTCAGCTTTTGAGATAATTTGAAAATGTCTGTTACCCTTAACATTGTAGATAAATGTCATGATGAATGGACCAAAAGAAGCAGCCCAAAATGACGAAGAAAAACGTCTGGTTCCATTGACTTACATTAAAAGTAAAGGATGTTTTTTCCCTCTCCTGTAAAGTTCTCATTTTGGAGATACGAGGTTTTGTTCTGACAGCAGCGATATGTAAATATCTACATGTAATAATAGTTTAATTATCTATTCATTACCTCAGTGACCAAAAAGAAATGCTTCTTAAAACAATCAAGCATGTAGAGTTTGTAAAAGCACAGTCAGGAGCACTTTGCTGTGTTTCTCGAGCTTCTCTACACTGAACACTTTTCAAATGTACAAACACACACACATCTGCAGGCAGTCGCTCCTCAGACTCCTGAGCTTGCTCGCCCATCTCTAAATCAATCTCCTCCTCCAATGATAATTATCCAACATCAGTTCCCATCATCCGTAAGCATGTTATAATCACCACATCACTCTTCACATGCCACCTTATGGCACCTTATGGCACTCCAGCATTATGAAACCCTTCGGTTTATGTTGCTATGCAGGATTCCCTGTACTGTTATGTAATAATGCAAAGCAAGTGTGTAACAACACAGCAGCCAAGAGGGACACAAGGCAGCGCATTCGAATGCAGAGCGGTGTTTGGCCCACACTGTGCGCTATTAGCGCTGTACGCGCCAGCGTCAAGGTCTTAGATCGCACGAGCTTCGGTCAGTGAACGGCGTCCCAGGAGGGTTCTTAGGGGGATTTGCTCTGAGTCCAAGTGACTGGTGCCAATCCTCTGCACATCTGGCACAGATGTTAGCATGCACACACACACGCACACACACTGATGTGTATTGATGTGTGTGTAACAACTACAGTATTGTACAAAAGTCAGAGACCACCCTTCGTTTGTTTACCTTCCAGTCAAAACAGCCATTAAAAACAAGTTGGTCTGTTTTCAGCAAAGAAATCTGCTAGAATATTTTCCCACAAAGTTGAGCCTTAAAAGCGCTGAGTCGTCTTCTCACAGTGGAAGGATGGACAGAAACACCTGTGGATGTTTTCAGATCTGAAGCAGCTTGATTTTCTCCTCTCTAAGATGAAAGCGGAGTGGATTATCTTAAATCTGATCGCCTCACAAATGTCGTAAAATAGGAATAAATTGTACCTCATATCTGTTTAAATGGGAAATTAAATCATGGGATGGTCTATGACTTCCACACAGCACTGTATATGCTATATATAAGTAATAATAATAATAATAATAATAATAATAATAAGTAAAGGTCCCCACAATGTCAAAGTGTTTTCCATCATTCTGGGGACCTTTAGTCCCCTTAAAAAGCCAAATACCAAAGCCAACGTTACAAAAGCTCTGATTTAAAAGTGCTTGGCCCCCTTTGCCTTTTGTTTTGTTTGTTTTGTTTGTTTATTTGTTTGTTTATTTGCACTCACCTGCGTTCCTCAGCTTCTTGTTCCTGCACACGGACAGAATGACCAGCAGGTTGCCCACGATGTCCACCACGATGGTGAAGATGAGGATGCCCGCAAGCGTGCCGGTCACGGGGCCGGAGGCTGCCTGAGCGCCCGGGCTGCTGTTCCGCGCGCTCTGGGACACGCAGTCGGCGCAGCTCGCGTTCCCCTCCAGCGCCATCCTCCTCAACAGCCTCGAGCCGGCTCGCTCCCCGCGCGCTTCACCCGGCGCCCAAGCTGCTCGCGCGCGTCCGCTGGCATCCGCGAGGCTGACCGGTGACGGGGACGCAACGGCTCGGCTCGCGCGCTCACTGCTGCGCCAGTGGCTTCACGCGAACAGGACTGCGCACCCTTCCGCATCCTCGCCTGTTCAGGGGCATTAAACGGGCGGTGAAGATGAGCGACGCGTCGCGAGCGGCTGAGGCACCGGCGGCTCTCAGCTCAGCTACTTTTCCCGCGAGCTCGCGCCGCTCGTCTCCTCGCGCCTCCCTCGACTGACAGGGTAAGAGAAAAAAAACAGAAAGCATCCCGCGTGCAGCGAGAGCGCGCTCAGTGTTAAAGGGGAATTCCACCATTTTCTCAAAAATTCTGTATGATTCAGTCACTGGAATATAATCTATATATTATAGACATATATAGACATTTTATTTACTATCCAAAACCATCCCTGGTCACCTCTTAAACTATTAGGGTCCTTTACATTTTGATATCAACACATTAAAAAGCCAAAATCACATGACAGAACCATCAGGAACCAACTGACACACTTAATGGTTTCTATGGGTTTCTCAGCAGGGCCATCAGCACCACTATGACCAATTCTGACTCAGTAAGTTTATCTGGTACAGAGCCCTGCTGGTGACATCCCCTATAAATAAAAATAAAGTGTGGCCACAACTTATGGGAATGAGATCTTAATGCGTGGCCACAACATGGTAAGGCGTGATAATGAGATCATGCCTTATTAAGCTGTGGTCAAGGCTTAATTATCTTTTTCCCATGCCTTACTAAGTCGTGGCCACGACTTATTTGTCTTGTTCCCACGTCTTACTAAGTCATAGCTACGCATTAGGATCTCGTTCCTAAGCCTTACTAAGTCATGGCCACAATTTTATAATGTCGTTCATACGCCTTGTGGCCATGCATTAGGATCTCATACACAAGCCTTACTAAGTCGTAGCCAAAACTTAATTATCTCGTTATTACGCCTCACTAAGTCATGGCCACGCATTAAGATCTCGTTCCCAAGCCTTACTAAGTCGTGGCCACGACTTAATTATCTTGTTCCTAAACCTTACTAAGTCAAGCCTATGCATCAGATCTCGTTCCCAAGTCTTATTAAGACATGGCCACAACTTAATTATCTCATTTTCACGCCTTACTAAGTCATGATCATGCTTTAGGATCTTGCTCCCAAGCCTTACTAAGTCATGGCCACAACTTAATTATCTTGTTTCCAAACCTTACTAAGTCGTGGCCACAACTTAATTATCTCGTTCTCACATCATACTAAGTCATAGCTATGCACTACAATCGTGTTCCCACGCATTAATACAGCGTGGCCTCACATTATTATTCATACAGGATGTCGTCAGTGGGGCTCCGTGATTTAGGACGAAGCTTTTCACATCAAACCACCCTGACTGACCTTGTTTAATGACCTTCAACCATTTAATTATGTAGAAATTTTGAAAAATTAGTGGAGTTCCCCTTTAATGCTCGAGCTCCCGGGACAGGCGGCTGTAAATGTCAAGAATAAATGTCATGATGAATTTAAGAGTGATTACCTGCCTAAAGCATTAAACCAGACAATCACAGAAAAGAGGACAGTGGGTTTATAAAGTCGGGCTGAGACACAGACACAGAGCTCTGTGACGTCTGTAAGAATTTAAATGAACAAACCCAATGCAGACACAGGGAGAAACTCCAGAACGGAGAGCACCCTGAAAGGACCCTTGTTGCCCAGCTGGGGAATGGAACTCAGGCCCTTCTTGCTGTAAAGCAGCAGCACTACCCATTGCGCCCCCTGGAGGATGCATGTTGTTTACATATCAAATAAATGCAGCAACTGTGTTCAGAATCTCTTTATTAAACTAGAAGAGTAGATTAAACAGAATAAACAGGCACATACTTGTCCAGCCTTGAAGGGTTAATATTTACTGAACTACTGAATTTGCTCTGATAAGATGTCCGTGCTATTAAACCCGGGCAGCTTGCTGTTGGTTTAGTTTCTCTGCCCTCTCCTGAATATTTATTGTGTCCCTGCTTTGTTTCATGTGTGGTGATATTAAAATCATTACATTCTCTTGACACCAGAGTCACACACATTTGCTTTGGCTCTCGATGGATTGTAGCGTCCTGCTACTGGCTCACTGAAGCTGAGGCTCATGAAGGGGGCTGTTTATTGTCATTTATGTCGCTGTTTGCAGCGTATTGACTGGAGGGCCACTTATTACACACTCTAAAACAGAAGCCACGGGCCAGTTAAAATCCATCCGCCGGCTGCTTTTGACTCTGGGCCTGGACTTTGGACACCCCTGTGTTATGCTATTGCTAAAGCTTGTAACTTGGAATTTCCCAAACATAACTGGGAAAAATCTAAAGCTATGTCCAAAACCACATACTGCCACATTACACCTGCTGCACTAATCAATGGTCTTCTATTGATTATGTACTATTTTTGACATACTATTTAGTGTGGTAGTGTGCAGTTTTGAACACAGCCAAAGAAAAAGCTCCTCAAGTGAGAATGCCTACTCGGAAAGTAGGGATGGTGTTCTCAACTCCAAGCTCAGCACAAGAAGTCAAATCAACACAGCTGCTCGCTCAGTTAATAGTAATTAAAAAAAACACTGCTCTACTATTAAACAAGATTAGCTTTAGATCAGTCGACATACAGACTCAGTAGTGGGTAAAGTGATACATCATAAACATTAGTTATCACTAATAAAACTAACCTTAGCTGGCTAGCTCATTGCTAATGATGGCTTTCCTGGAGGTGTCCATGTTTTTCCACATTTTGTAGCTTGAGCGTGCAGAGTTTGTTCCAAGCTCCCACTTCCGAAAAAAGGTTGAATGCAACATAACTTCCAGCGGTGATGGAAACAGGGAACTACTAATTTTCCCATTTGTAAATTGCACGCAAACAGTCAGCGAAAGTATTATTTGGACATAGTTATTTTCCTCACAGGATATCTGTAATGTTTATGACTGAATCACACAGATTTGGAAATCTTAGTATAAATAACAGAGTCGGGAGCGGCTACTGAATTCATGAATTATCGTCACACCAAAACATTTCCATACATTCGGCATGAATTCTATGCTGGTAAAGCTGGTTTATGCTGGTGTGTTGCTGGTTTAACTGGTTCACCCAGCAGCACAGTCATGCTGGTTGACCAGCATACCAGCATCCAAAGCACAACATATTCTGGTTTCATTGGTGACCAGCTATGCTGGCCTATGCTGTTTTTTATAACAGGTGTGCATGTGCGGTTTTGGACGCAACCAATGAAAAAAACCCTCAGCTAGGAATTCCTACATATATATATCAATATTCAAAAGTGGTGTGGTTAAATATAGTGAGCACATACATACATTTCAAAATACCACAAATATTTCACATGTATTAAACAGATATTTTTATACAAACAAATACATGTACGTATATTTTTCTACCATATGAGGTAAAAATAAATGTGGAGACTCAGATGGGACTAAAATCACTGAGATACTCTGGTAGTAGTTACATTAGCCCAAATACAACTAATCCCATCTGAATTAAAATCACTTCTAAAAAAAAAAAAAAAAGGTTTCTAGATGATTCATCAGTTTACGAGATGTGACTTTATAGCCTTCCCTCCTTTCCGCCAGTGGAAAACTAAATTCCCCAGTGAACATGAAAAGAATATACCTGATGAACTTCAGCTTTTAAATTTAGCAAAGAAAAAGCAGGATTCGTATCCTCCAGGCATGGTGGGCGTACTTTTCAACCAGCACCCAAACAAAATGAAACCATGTGTATCATTTAACCATCAACCTTCTGGTGAGGACGCGAATGCAGCATTACACCGAATAAGATAGACAGCAGCTGCATTCAGATTTGCTCCCTATTACAGGAATACACAGCGTTCCACATAAAGCTGCACTGTGCAAGATTTGGGGATTTGGAGACCTCTCTGGTGGAAATGTGTAATTGCATGTAACAAGCAGGAAACCATGGTTGTGTTTTGGGCCCCTTTCCCAAGCGGATGAATCTGATGACTGCATGAAATGAAATGAAAGAGAATGAAAGAGAATTTAAAGAGAGCTCAGTCACGATTTGGCGAAGGAGTCAGAGGGTTTTAGTGAATTATTTACTGTTTTCATCGTATCTTCATCACTATAATGTTGATTTTGCATGTGAGATTGCTATTTGCTATTGCTAATGAACCAGCCATTATCTCTAAGACTTGACTACAGCCACACCGGTGTTGTGGCAACACCTAGACTAGAAGTAGCTGCAACATCTGGCTGCATCTCATGGACCAATGGCTAGTTTTTCCTAGCCATAGCCTGTGCACTCGTAGTGGTGGCTAACTACTTTGTCCTACCTTTAGCGGGTTCACCTTGGCAGAAAAGCTTTTATGCTATGTTAAAATCAGGTTGTTACAGATTTTGCCCAGTGCCATTAGAACCTGATGACCTTCATGCTTTATTATAGAGCCCTGGTGCAGATACCAGCAGATCCGCCCTTGAATTATAGGAGCATCCTGCACATTTTGAAGGCCGGTTGCTGCCCTTTTGAATAATCCTTGAACTGAAAAACACTCAGCACCGAATACATTTTTGCTTTTGCCCTGACAATCAATCTCCAGCCCTCCTGCAGAGGCTCCAGTCCTCAGGTGTACCAGCAGGACGAATTTTCATCTTGCTCAACAATGATGCCCCCCATCTGATCTACAGCTGCTGCTGATCCACTCTTTGTATCCTCCTGAAGTAGAGTCTTGTGGGAGCTATTCTTCTGAAGTAGACTCTTGCGGGAGCTCTCTGCCTCGAACCCACACTTCACCACATGGCTCTGTGCACCTGGGCCCATGCTGCCTCTGATTTGCTAGCAGGTTGCTAACTTACAGGGGACAGTTAAACCGGTTTTGACTTATCAAGGCCTGGATATCTGAATCCCATAGTCTCCAAGCCTAGCATGTTTTTCTGTTAGACTCCGACAGCCTTTGAGTTTGCAAGTTCAAGGAATATGGGAACTTAGGAAGCCTTGACTTGTTCATATGAACAGACAGCAAAAGTGCTAGCAGCCATGGCGGAACTAGGTCATTATAACCTAAAGAGCACGTAGACTTTGGCTCTACGGTACCAGTAACACTCCAGTGAGACAATGGAAATATGGACCGAAGTTTGGTCTGACCAAAAGAGGTGGTCTTGGCCTGGATCAAACTGATTCATGGTTTGGTTTATTTGCAATGATTGTGTTTTGCATTGAAAACACTTTTTTGGATAGTTCAGACTTTCGGGGACCAGTTACAGGACAATTGAGGCAGGATATCGTCACCCATTAAACGACAGAAGAAGAAAAAGAACCGTAAGAGAAGTAAAAATGAGCCGCGGTAGCACATAGGGAGATAAGATAATATAACTAATTTAAGATAAATTTTTTAGTCCCACAACTGGGAAATTCACAGACAGAATAAGACAAAATATTTACTTGTATTTTGGTCTAATGAAAAACTCAAAAGTCAACTTGGAAAAACACATAAAAATGCTGATAATTTATACCTTATTTTCTGAGAGGATGAGAGCGATATTAATTTTTCTTCTGCTACCTGCCGAAATGACAGCATGTCGATGTCAGACGCTCCTCTACAAACCAATCAGTGTTAAGTACAGGGAGATGCAGCCCTCGTAGGTGGTGATGACAGGATGTAGGTGTATTATTCAAGTTCTTTAATGCGCTCAGTAATTGCAATGAAAACTAACCAGATCAAATGAATCCAATGTAAGAAAAACATGAACCCTGGTCCCGACGTGTGAAAACACCCTAAGTTAGCTGGTGAACTAACAGTAATGCTGTAATGAGACTGTGGAAAGAAACATATCCAAGCTAGCTAGTGAGCAAATGCTAATCCATTAATAATAATGATAACAATAAATGATAATGATCTACATAACTCAACAAAACACATCAATTCAGTGGCTAAACTACGCTAAAAGTACCCACTACTTTGGAAATAACCCATCAAAATGACCCAATAGCCTAAACACAGTGTTTAGGTAGAAAAAACAACCGAACAGTTTGAGTGTGTTGGTCACTACTGAAGACTTACAACATCATGTGACATCAGAGAGTTGGCTCTGCTCCTTGTTGCCTTACAATGCATGTCATGCCCAGTCTGGAGAGTTTTGTTCCAACACAGCTGGCTCTGATCTTCAGAACCCCTTGACGCCTTAATGAACTGGCTCAGGTGTGTTAGATTAGGGTTGGAACTAAACTCCACAGCCTGGTTGATCTCCAAGACCGCAGTCGGGCACTTCTGGTGTGGCAGATTCTTGGCTTCGCTTGCTTGTAGCCGATGCTGGTTCAGTTCCATCTCTAAGAGACACGTAGGACCTTCCTGAGTTGGCACCAGGACCACAGTTGGCCTCAGCAAGCAACCGGTTTGGACTATGAGAGCTCCATCCACCACACGTTCAGTCCTCCCCAGTGTCTCCTGTCTAATTGGCATCAAAGAAAGAGCAGTTTGGCTCTGAGATCCAAATACCTGGGAAGTTTGTCTCCTATTCAGCAGACGAGCGCATGAAAAAGTGGACCTCACTGGTCAGCCTCAAGGGTTCTAATACAAGTAATGCCTTTTCTTTTTCCTAGAGTAGTTTTGCATGCTATGCACAATTAATCGTTTTTGTGCTGCTGTTCACATTTAATTCATATCCAGCAGCGGCAAACCTTGATTATAAGATTTAGGCCTTCAGTTTGACCCATAAATGCTCAAAATAGAAGAAAAAACCCACATCAATAATGGTTATTTCTGCTAGTGGCCATATGTTCCTAACAATATGCTAGTATCTCGTTCCCATGCCCCACTCAGTTGTGGCCATGACTTGGTAAGGTGTGGGAACGAGATGATTAAATCATGGTCAAGACTTAGTAAGGTGTGGGAATGAGAAAATTAAGTCATGGCCATGACTTAGTAAGGTAGGGGAATGAGATCATAATGTGATCATGACTTAGTAAGGCATGAGAATGAGATAATTAAAGCTTGACCACAGCTTAACAAGGCATGATCTCAGTCCCACGCCTTACTAAGTTGTGGCCACGACTTAATAAGTTGTGAGAACGAGATAATAAAGTCGTGGCTTCGACTTAGTAAGGTGTGGGAATGAGATCCTAATGTGGCCACAATTTTGTAAGATATGGGAATGAGACAATTAAGCCTTGACCACAGCTCAGTAATGCATGTAAGGTGTGGGAACAAGGTAATTAAGTCATGGCCGCAACTTAGTAGGCCATGGAAACAGGATCATAATGGGTGGCCGCGACTTAGTAAGGTGTGGGAATGAGAAAATTAAGCCTTGAACACAGCTCAATAATGCATGATCTCGTTCCCACGCCTTTCTAAGTCATGGCCATGGCTTAATTACCTCGTTCCCATGCCTAACTAAGTCATGGTCACACATTAGAATCTCATTCTCATGCCTTACTAAGTCACGGCCACGGCTTAATTTCCCACACCTTACTAAGTTTTGGCCATGCATTAGGATCTTGTTACCACGCGTTAATACAACATGGCCTCGTATAATTTTTATTTATACAGGATGTCACCAGCAGGGCTCAGCACAGTTCCTAAGTATGTAGTTAAACGTGTAAGGCCTTCAGTCCAGCTCCTGAAGTCCTGACCAATGGGAGAGCTCGCTTGGCTGTGTCTATTTAGCTACCACAGAGGAAGAAATCCTGTTGGACCATTGTCCAAGATTTTTAGTATAATTATAATACTTGCAATACTACAAGCGTGATGACTCTATT